GAGGGAAGTGAGAGACAACTCTAAAGGAATGGCCCTGTTACAGTTGTGGATAAGTGAAGTTTATCTGCTAACTATCTGATACTATTTTAGTTTCCCAAAATGGGTTCCTTTTAGGAAAGGCCTAATGTTCAACATTTGACATTTCTTTCCATCTGTTTGGCAGTTTTATATCTCAATTTTTTTAATAAACTGGAATTATGGTATATATGCTGTTTCTATCTCTGTCTCTCTTTTTGGCAGTATTGGGGTTGGAACTCATGACTTTTGGGCTTGCTAGGCAGGTGTTCTACTGCTTGAGCCACATCTCTAGCCTTTTATATATATATATATATAAATTATATATAAAGGCTATATCTCTAGCCTTTTATATATATATATATATATATATATAAATTATTATTAGGGACAGACTCTCACTTTGTAGCCCAAGTTGGTCTTGAACTTGTGTTCTCCTGCCTCCACCTCCCCAGTGGATTACAGGGGTCAACCACCACTCTTGTCCCCTAAATCATGACTGAATCAATAAAATGAGTTTCTTGAGCATGTATGTCCAAATACTGGACCTTGGTATCACTGTTTGCCAGTTTTAGTGACTAAGCTATTCCCTGAATGTGCTGCAGGCCTCTGATTAACTTTTAAAATTTCTTCACCAGTTTTCTCTGTTGACACTGCATGGGGATAGTTAAAGGTCAAACTGAAAAGTTTGCCAAAAATTGTGGAGCATAGGAGCAATGTGACGACAGTACTGTACCATGATTAGTCTTTCAGTGACTTGCCTGAGGTTTGTAGCCTATGCTTGAAGAAGGTAAAGTAGCCAACCAAGTGACTGTCCTCCAGAAAAGCAGTAAGACCTGCCTTGGAAATGAAGCTGCAGGAAATAGAAGATTTGCATAGCATGATTTAATAACTCACACAGTGATAGTGAAGAACAGAACAAAAGGAGAGTTCAAGTGTTGATCTTAAAGTTTGAACACTCAAAAAAGGACCTTTACAAAGAGTAAATTTAGAAAGTAAACCTAATATACTTTTACATGGTAAAAGTTTGAATTAACAGCTTGGATAAGTAGGTCTGGGGGTAGAGAGCTGGAGGTGTGGCTCAAGCCATAGAGTGCCTGCCTGCATGCTTGAAGCCCTGAGTTCAAGCCCCAGTACCACTCTGCAGGGGCCTGTGAAAGAGCTTGTAGGAACCCTGATTTATGACCAGTAAGTCAGAAGCACAGGCAGAACAACCTGGAACTTGAAATGAGCATCTGAAGTGGGGGGAATGTTCAGTTTTGGGGACTGAGCCCTGAGTCTCTGGGTTCTTAGACTTTTTCCAGGTAGACAGTATTATAACAGAAGTGACTTAGAGGATGATTAGCTCATGATCCTCCTTCCTCAACCGCCCGAGTGCTGGGATTATAGACATCCACCATGCTACCCAGATGATTTTTTTTTTTTATTGGCAGCACTGGGGTTTGAACCAAGGGCCTCATGCTTGCTAGGCAGGCACTTTTACCACTTGAACCACTCCACCAGCAAAAGTATTTTAAATATAAAACTGAACAAAGACCATCGGCATGAAAACAAGCAAAGGCTATTCAGAGCAAGACAATCAGCTATGGTCACTTGCATTTGTTGGCAGAGACTCAGAGATCAACAGAAGAAATAGAAAGTCTTTATCTTGGCAGAGAGGAAGATGTTTCCTGAATGGAGATGTTGGCCTGGGGAGGCTAACTAGAAGCAGATATTCATATGTATCTGGATAAGGGTGCATACTTGGTTTAAGCTGGTTATTTCTTAGTTGGAACAAAAATTAGAGTATTAAGCAAGTCCTGACTGTTTGGGCCAGTTGTTATTGCGGATCTGGTTTGGCTCCTTGGACTGGTTGCTAGAGAAAGCCTGGCTTTCTGTGGGAGATAGAGTTGGCTTCCTGGTCTAGTTGTGGGAGGTACTAGCTTGATGGATGGGTTGCTTTAGATTGCGGACCTATTTCTTATATTCATGGCCCAGCCCTTGTCTGTCAGCAGTATTGAGTTTCTCATTAAAATCAATCAAATAGCCAGGTATGGTGGCATATATCTAAAATGCTTATAATCCCAGATACTTGAAGTCAGAGGTAAGAAGATTGCTAGTTTGAGGCCAGCCCTAGAAAAGGTAGAATGATTCTGTCTCAAAAGCAAAAGAAAACCAAAAGGGCTGGGGCATAGCTCAAGTGGTAGAGTGCTTGTGTAGTATGTGTGAGGTCCTTAGTACTGGGTTCAATCCTTAGTACTGCAAAAAAAAAAAAATAGCTGGGTGTGTGGGACACACCTGTAATCCCAGCACTCACAAAGCTGAGGCATGAGAATCAGAGTTGAGACCATCCTGGGCTACATAGTGAGACCCTATCTGTAAAATAACAGTAACAATTGCCAGGTGCAGGTGGCATAGGTCTATAATCCTGAATACTCAAGAAGCAGACATTAGGGGGGTCATGGTTTGAGGCCAGCCTGGACAAATAGCTCGTGAGACCCTATCTTGAAAATACCCAATACAAAAAAGGGCTGGTGAGTGGCTCAAATAGTAGAGCACTTGAGTTCAAACCCTGCACTGCCAAAAAATAGCAGTAACAACAGACAAAACCATTAGATTCCTTAAGAATGACAAACCACATTTGGGAGAAGATAGATATATCCACAAAATGTTTGTATCCAGAAATTATATATTATTTTTATATATATATTGAATCAAGGTCTCTCTGTGTAGCCCGAGCTGACCTCCCACTTATGATCCTCCCGCCTCAGCCTCCGAAATGCTGGAATAAAGTTGTACACCACTACACAATGCTCTAGAATATATTTTTGAAACAGCAATAAGAGCATATGAAGGGTACTAGTAGAAGAAGTGCAATCAGCAGGGAAATGCAGATTACACATCTCCACTAGAATGGCTGGAATTAACACTACTAAGTGATGGTGTAGATTTGGAGTAAATGGAAATGTCAATCATTTCTGGTGGTACAGATACAGTAAAAGTGCTTGGCAGCGTCTATTAAAACAGAACATACATGGATTAGGAGTACAGCTTGGAAGGAGAGCACTTGCTTATTAGCATGTGTGAGTCCTAGGTTATATCACCAACAAATCTGTCTCACTCTCTCTCTCCCTCTCTAGTTATTTCTGTCTCATGAAAATCCCCCCACCATACACAAACACATACAACAAGACACAAAACAAATAAGAAACTTATTTTGTAGCAACAAAAAAGAATAAAATTCTGCATTATGCCACAATATAGGTGAATCTTTAATTTATAGTAATAAGAATCAGAGTAATGTTTATTTTTTACTGATTCTGTTGACTGATGGATGCATAATGGAGCCTTTTGGAATACCAGAAATGTTCTATAACTTAACTTATCATTCCCTGTTTCAACCCTCTTCTTTTGTTTATTTCTTTTTCTTTAAACCAGTTTCCCCTCTAGTTTCCTGATTATCTGTTGTTAAATGAAACCTTATTAAACTTGTTTCTCAATTATCCAAATTTTAAACCCTGGCAATCCTGTATCACCTTTAAAGACTGCGGGCTTTAAATCTTATCAGCTTTTCCCTTTAAAGTATTTTCCTTCCTCTTAAAATATCTCCTATCCATACTGTTTACAAATCATGTCTGTGCTAGGAGTTTTAGCCTTGACCACAAACTTGAATTACTGCCAAGGACCTAACTGGTTTCCTCTGCCTGTCATACTGGAAAACTGTCCTTCAATATGCTAGCAAAGCCATTCTTCCTCAGCACCATTGCAACAAAATGAACACTCTCCTCAGAAGACTTGAGTAGACTCCATCTCTGGTATATTAGGGGCAGATCAGTCTCTAGCTTTGCATTCAAGACTTTGCTCTGGCTCCAACCAGCCACACTACTCTGTTCACAGTCATTTGGAAAACTGGCATATTTAGTATTTCCAAACCCATTTGACTCTCTATTACTTACACCTTGTTCATGTTCTTCTTTTCCTAAATGCTTTATTCCTCATAATTAGCCCATCTCATACCATTTCACCCCCGGGAAATGGCTAATATGCTTCATATTAGCCATTTATATTCATTTATATTCATTTATATTCATTTTCTGTGAACCCCCCTGGAAATTTTGTAAGCATTCCTGTGTGTACATTTTTCTGGAGAGACAACTTTTCTAGTTACCAGATTCTTAGAAGTAGCCTTTTGAAATAATGTAAATTAACTCAGTTAATTTATCATATTATAACTTATTCTTATTGAGAAGAATATAATTCCTATGAGGACTTAATGAATCCAAACCTGTGTCATGCCTGTGTACATACCCAGTTAAACACTGGAAATATTTGTTTTGGTGGAAAAAAAATTCTAAGCTGGGCACCCACGGCTCACACCTTGTAATCTTAGCTACTTAGGCTGAGATCAGGAGGATCCAGGTTTGAGATCAGTTCAGACAGATAGTTTGGGAGACCCCTATCTTCAAAATAACCAGAGCAAAATGGACTGGAGTGTGGCTCAAGGGGTAGAGCACCTGCTTTGTAAGTGCAAAACCCTGAGTTCAAACCCCTGTCTCACAAACAACAACAAACACCTTAGTTCTAGGGCTGGCGAAGTGGCTTGATAGTAAAGTGTCTGCCTGGCAAATATGAGGCCCTGAGTTCAAACCCCAGTGCTTACTGCAAAAAAACCAAAACAACCAGCCCTTAATTCTAAATATACTGGGTATTAAAACATTTTTAATAGATAAATTATATTTAATGCTCAAAGTTTCAGAATCAGGTAAAATAACCCCATCTATTGCTTAGGTTCCTAGATATAGCTGTTTGTGTAGAATTTATTTTTCCTCAAGAGATAGTATCTTAGTATTTTCCACTTTGGCATCTTTAGCTAAAGGAAGTTTTCCCGCCCACCTCCCCATGACTGGGGTACAGCTAGTAGGCTACCATCTCTGTATGCTTTGATGCAACAATCCCTTTTCAAGGGCTTAGTTGTCTTTTTCATCACTTCTTTTTTTCTCTTTTAGATTCCTATAGGCAATGGAAACTGATCTTAATTCCCAGGACAGAAAGGACCTGGACAAGTTTATTAAATTTTTTGCCCTCAAGGTAATATGTCCATTCTCTTGACTGAACACTATTAGAAATAGCTTCTATGCTGCTTCTCCCTTTACAGGGTCCTCTTTGCAAATGTAGCATAGCAGCTTGCAGCTTGCCCATTTTAAGGAATACTTCTGTCTGCTGTAAACCAAACTGTGAAGTATGGGGGCGGTATTGGGGGTGTAACCAAAATTACCTTCCAATTTTCTACAGCTTCTTGTTCAAAAATTTTTTTTGCAGGGCTGTTGGTAGAAATGTCAAACTGTTATGCCAGGTTATTGGCACCGTATGTTCTCTTGGGACGGGAATAAAGACTGACCTGGAATGGGCAGCATTCTGGGCATCTTCCCCCAAAATGGCCAACTTTCATTTATTGTTCCTTCCTGGTAAATGAATTAAAACTCAATTCTGAATGCTATTTCCTAAAAATCTAAAAATTCTTTCTACCCGTAAACTCCTTCCTCTCAACAGTTACCTTGCCAGAAGAATCTATGCTGTGTCCATTCTAGTTGTAAAATTATGTGGACGACTTTAGCCATATGGGCCAAGCTACATGGATAATTGTGGAATTCTTGTTTTAGATCTATTATGATGACATAAGTTTGGGCAGTGACTATTTAAACCCACAGTTGGACTTACTTCTTTGTGAATATCATAGCTACCATGTGTTGTTTTCTTTCTGCCATGTGAGAACATTATAGATTCTAAGCCTCAAACTATACTTCCTCTCATCGATTAACACTACTTTTAGGAATGTTTTTGATATTTTCTATGTGTGTGTTTTTTTCAGTCTGCTCTTGTTAAAATTCTACCCTTTCCTGAAGTAGAGTTATGGTTAATTGGCATTCTTTTATCCTGAATTAGTAGGATTTTAGCACTGGTAAAGAGCCAGATTTCTTTTTGGCAGTACTAGGCTCTAACCCATAGTCACATGTGTGCTAGGCAAGTACTTCTATCACTGAGCCACATCTCCCACCTTAAGACTTTTCATCTTTTTATTTTCAGACTGTCCAAGTGATTGTCCAGGCTCGACTTGGTGAAAAGATTTGTACTCGTTCATCTTCTTCTCCAACGGGTTCAGATTGGGTAAAATTCCTGTTCTTTGCTAGTGGGTATATACACTGGTATTTGTTGCAAGGAGTGAATGTAAAGTTCAAAACTGCAGTAGTAAGGCATTCTATTTATAATATTACTAAATCATAACATTAAAATATATAATTTCATTTGATCTGTTCACTTGGAAAATACATTCCTTATTGAAATAAATTCTGAATTTATGACTTTTTTGCTGTGACAGATACAAAGTTTAGTCCTTAGAAGACAAGCATTCTATCTTATTAACTAGTTGTAATAGGTAGCTAGCCTTTTCAACCTGAGACTCGAGGCTTTGGCCCCATTGTGTGGGGGCTTTCCATAAGCTATTTCTTACAGGGCAGGGAGAAGTGAATGAGTGTTTTCCTTAAGCAGTCAAAGCAATATCTGTATTACCCAGCATATTGCCTTTTGTTCCCATAATGTTCCTTGAGAGTGTTTGACACAAAGTCTCTTTCTTTCTAGTTTAATTTAGCAATCAAAGACATCCCAGAGGTTACCCATGAAGCAAAGAAGGCACTGGCTGGGCAGCTTCCTGCTGTGGGGCGCTCTATGTGTGTGGAGATCTCACTCAAGACTTCTGAGGTGAGGTTATGACTGGAATGGTGTCCTCATGTGCACTCAAGACTCTTCACCCTCTCGTTCCAACTCATTCCTCAGCTTTACCCCTGGCCCTTCTGCCTCTGAACTTCTCATTATCCTCTGAAGGGTCAAAGATTTGCTTGTTTTGTTACGCTGGAGAGTGAACTCAGGGCTTCATGAGTGCTAGGCAAGCTCTGCAGCACTGAGCTATGCCCTCAGCACCAGTCATGGTTACGGTTTTTGTGCTTACTGTTCCAGCAATGTGGAATGGGCTCTTTGCCCTTTTCTTCATACTTCTATTCATTCTTCAACTCATGTGTTCTAGAAAATATCCCCAAAATTTTGGGGGAGGAGTAACTGCCCTTTAGACTTCTGAGGTACTTCGTTTATATTCGTTTCCAGAGTATAACTTGTATCACAAATTTTATAAAGTTTCTTTTCAGCTGGAGGCGTGGTTCTAGTGGCAGGGAGCCTACCTAACAAGCGTTAGACTCTTAAGTTCAAACCCAAACCTCAAAAAAGAAAAAGAAAAAGTTTGTTCACCTGAATCCACATTAAGATATTAAGCCAAACATTGTAATTTGTATATTTATTAATCTGTGTCACAGATAGATAGTGATATTGTATGGAATAATAAAAGGCAAATAGAATTTGGAGCTGCACAGAGTCAAGTTCACAACACTGCTGAGTCACTTTAGCCAAATTACTTAACCTTACCCTCACTAGCACTACCAAACTAACACCACACTTCAGTATTGCAGTGCTATAAGATGTTTTCATTTAATCCTTATTTGGATTGCTGTTTTGTTTTGTTTTGTTTACTTTTATTTGTATTGATGTCATGCTGAATTTATTCCCATGCCAAAAGTTTTTGTTACTTCTGGTGTATCTTTTTTTTCTTCAGTGCAACTTTCTCTTCTGGTTTAGGAACAATTTGTTCCTTTTTCAATAAGGATCATCCCAATGTGGCAGAGGGAGCTCATGAATGGATTGATCCAACCATTAGCTCTGGTGGTGCTTGGTTTTTGAACTCAGAGGTTCATGCTTGCTAGGCGGGATCTTAAGCTATACCTCCAGCCCTGACCATTGGCTCTGTAAGTGCAGCAGTGCATCTTGAGTGCTTTGCTCACCTGGATGTGTTCAGTGACACAGAATTGACATTTAAATCTGTATTGCATTACTCTGCATTTTAAGCATGTGCAGCAGAAGTTCAGCACTTGTTTTGGTTCACCAGTCCTATGTCCAGCATAGGTCTGGTGACACCAGTCCTATGTCCAGCATTGGTCTGGGCACACCTGCCAGCTCCACCAGTATACTTCCAGAATGGTACACATAGCTTCTCTAAGGTGACATTTCTCAGGTACTTGATGGCCTGGGCAGTTTCATAGGTGTTCCTAAAATGAACACAAAGACTTGAAGCTCTTTTCTGTGCATGCTGTAACCTCTTTCCTTTTTTTTTTTTTTTTTTTTTTTTTTTGGTGGTACTGAGGTTTGTATTCAGGGCATCATGCTTGTTAGGCAGGTGCTGTACCACTTGAGCCACTCTGCCAGCCCTGCAGCCCTGTTTTGTGTTAGGTTTTTTCTGAGGTAAGGTCTCGACAACTATTTGCCCAGGCTTGCTTTGACCACAATCCTCCTACTCTCTGCCTCCCAAGTAGCTAGGATTGTAGGCGTGAGCCACCAGTGCCCAGCCACTTTCCTTCTTGAGGTTAATTTAAAGTAAAGCCCTGGGTTTAATCCCTCACACCACAAAAAAAACAAAAGGGATTCAGAATTTTTATTTATTTATTTTTGGTGTGACTGGGATTTGAACTCAGGACTTTCAATTTACAAAGCATTCTAATGCTTAAGCCACACCTCCAGTCCATTTTGTCATGGTTATTTTGGAGGTGAGATCTCAAAAAGTATGTGGGTGGGCTGGTCTCAAACCTCAGTCCTCTCAGTTTCAGCCTCCCAAGTAGCTAGGATTACAGGCCTGAGCCACAGATGCCTAGCCAGGATTTTTAATTATAAGGAAAATTTCATCATGTATTCATTAAGAAAATAAATGATAAAAGTAACATGAAGTATGATCCAACTTTTTGGAAAAGTAACTGGTTAAGTAAGTTATTTTCATTTTTCTTTTTGCTTATCTGTACCTTCCAGTATTTTTTATTATGATTGTGTAATGCTTTATAATAAAAAACTAAGGTAATTTTTAAAAACTGCAATTTTTTTCACTTGTTCCACCTACAGGGAGATTCCATGGAGCTGGAAATTTGGTGTCTTGAAATGAATGAAAAGTAAGTGCTCTGTCTCAGACTCCTTGGTGTGGTGGTTGCAGATAAAGCAAGTGGCATTATATGAAAGCAGGACTTTGTTTTCACGGAGCACATTCTGACCACCTAGCAGACCCAATAGCTCTTTGCTACAGTTTGCTTCATGCTTGGCTTCTAGCCTAGGCACAGAGATGACCTTCAGAGGGAGCATTAGTCCAGAGACTCACAGCCGAGGGAGAGGAGCAGAAAACTGAAAAGGATTTGTTGTTTGCCCAGAGTACATCTCGTTCTCTGATTAAATCTCTTGTGAGCTCACATAACATGACTACTCTATTTTGGCTGTGTGGCAGCCATCCAGTAAGATTTCCCCTCGCTGCTCCTTTGTTTGCACAATGTTGGTTGTGGATCAGAATGCATGTTATCTCCATCTTCCATTTTCTTCTTTCAAGGCTGATTTAGCTTACCTCCTGTCTGAAGCTTCAGTTTTTAACAAGAGTATGTAGGAAAAACCAACCTATCAAAAGAAAAATCTTAAGTGATGAGTGTGTGGTGTGGAACTTATTTTTTTTCTTAAATAGAAAGCAATTGTCAAGATAGGGTTCAAAATTTTAGTACCATACAGACTTTTCTCCAGATTTCCTGTATAGAATTAGATAGCTCATAAGATAGTATCTTAAATATGTCAGGATAGTGAGTATCTATAACTGCAATATTGATTTATGTTTTTAAGTCTATTGCTTTATTTCTTCAATAACTACTTCAAAACTAGAAAAAAACATATTGGGTGCTTTTTGGTGCTCATCTGTGTCTAGTACCTAAAGTAAGATTTGAACAGACTTCCACAGTCTGTTGGCAATGAACTCTGATCTCACCTTTAGCTCAGAACATATTTTAATAATAAATTTGCATAGTTAAAGCACTTCATAGGAGAAACTGACAGTGTCCATGCGCTCCTCAGGTGTGATAAAGAAATCAAAGTTTCCTACACGGTGTACAACAGACTGTCACTGCTGCTGAAATCTCTTCTTGCCATAACTAGGGTGACGCCAGCTTACAGACTCTCCAGAAAACAAGGGCATGAATATGTCATATTGTACAGGTAAACTGCATGGCTGCTTATCTTAATTCACTGTCAGTCACATTGTCTGCTGGCATTCAGGTATCTTGGGTTTACGTTTTGGACAGATAGTTGATTGGATTATAGATGCTGTGGCTTTTATGTGATCACCTTGGAGCTTTCTTCATGAGTCAGCAGGTGCACTCTTTCTTCTCTGCAGTCATGATTCCTGTGGAATGAATATTGAGGCCCTACCTATACACATCTCAAAGCAGAAAAAGGAGCTTAAGACTTTATGAAACAAGCTTTCTTGGGGTGATTCCCCAACCTCCTAGATTCCAGAGCTACAGTCAGCCTTTTGTCTAACGAAGTGCTAATTCAACTTAAATATTAAATTAGTTGTCCATGGCTATAAAAAAAAAAACAGGTTAATACTTTGAGTATTTTCCTAGGGCATTTTACCTAAAATGCTTGCCATTTTAGTACAAGTCTTGTGCTAGAGGTGTTTCTAGTTCAAAGAGAAATTTGATAGATGTAGAATTATAATTAAAAGCAGGACTTGAAAACTGCATAGTAATATCAGGAAAAAAATTACTACGTGAACATGGAAGAAGTTTTAACTAGTGGTGAGAAACAAGATAGGCCTCAGGGAGGAAGAGGCAAGGCAGATTTCAACTAGTAGAAGTAAGGGAGAATAATCATTCCAGATGGAGTGTACAACAGGTGACAGTCTTGTCACCTGGTAGGGGTGAGCATAAGAGCCTTACTCAGACTGTCAGATGAAGCAGAGCAGAGCAGTACAGGGTATGTTGGAAAGTGTGAGAGTAGAGCAGGGAAAACCAGGGCTCCCAAATCTTAAGAATACTTACCAGGTGATCCTTAACACCTTAACATTTGTGTGTGTGTGTGTGTGTGTGTGTGTGTGTGTGTGTGTGTGTGTGTGTGTGTGTTCCTTAACACCTTAACATTTGTGTGTGTGTGTGTGTGTGTGATCCTTAACACCTTAACATTTGTGTGTGTGTGTGTGTGTGTGTGTGTGATCCTTAACACCTTAACATTTTGTGTGTGTGTGTGTGTGTGTGTGTGTGTGTGTGTGTGTGTAAAACCAGGGTTTGAACCATACCTCTAGCCCAACTTTCTTATCAATAACTTAGCAACCCTAAGTGTATAGGGTTTATTTTTCCAAGTCTCAAAGAAAATTTTGTTGTCTTCTGTATATAGTCTTCCCAGGTATGAAGTTATATATTCATTCCATTTGAAAAATTTACTAGACTTTCATTCAGATATAATAGAAAATTACTTTCTACCCTTCACCTTACCTATGCTAACTTCTCTTCCTGTGGTTCTTATGTAAGTATCCATACTGCACTACCAAAATCTTTAGCTAATTTAAGGGACTACTAGTCTTAGTTAACAATACCAGTGCTAGCTGGGCACTGTTGGTTCATAACTGTAATCCTAGCTACTCAGGAGGCAGAAATTAGGAGGATGGCAGTTTGAAGCCAGCCTGAGCAAATAGTTCATGAGACCCTGTCTCGAGAATACCCACAGGACGAAGGCTGGCGGAGTGGCTCAAGTGGTAGAGCACCTGCCTAGCAAGCAGGAGGCCCTGAGTTCAAACTCCAATGCTGCCAAAAATATATATAAATAAATAGAAAATGCCAGTGCTTAAAGTCTTCCCATGTGTTTGGATACAAATAACTAACTTAAACCATATGGGGTGAGTGAGCTGAGAGGGAGATTTAGTTCTTCTTTTTAACAGGGTATGTCCTTTTTTTTTCCCCTGTGGTACTAGAGTTTAAACCCAAGGCCTTGAGCATGTTGGGTGAGCCCTCTACCACTGAGCTGTATCCCCAGCCATCTTATCTTTTTTGTTGTTGCTAGCTGTGTCATTTTTTTCTACCCCTATAGATTTCATCATGACACTGCAAAATTGCATTGCTACTAAACAGCTTATCCTGAATATGTTGTAATCAAGACTTAAAGTTTTATCATCTATTATTTATGAAGAAAAGATTTATTTTAACATGTAAATGCCATAAAGAATATAGGCAAGAAAAAATATTTTAAGCATTACACCACCATTTAGATGTATAATGAAGTGATTGTTAACTTTTTTATTAAAAGGTACCCTGAAGATCTTATTGGACAATCTTTTATTAATATTATTCCTGTCTTAAATTCTGTCAGGAGTCAGTAACCTGGCCACCAGGCCATCTGCTTGTTTTATTTTTATTATCTATCTTTCTGTCTGTCTGTCTATCTATCTAGTGGTAATGGGGTTTGAACTCTGAGCTTTGTGCTTGCTAGGCAGGCACTGTACAGCTTGAGCCACTCCACCAGCCTGCTTGTTTTTATAAATAAATCTTAGAACACAGCCACCCATTGGTTTACATCCTGTCTCTGTCTGTCTGCTTATGCAATGCAGCAGAAAGCTGAGGGGATGAATGTATGGCCCACATGCCTAAGTCCTTTCAAAAAGATGGGGGTGTGTATTTGGAGTTCTGACCTGAGAGGGAGGACCACTTGAACCCATGAGTTCAAGACCAGCCTGTGTTACATAGTGGAAAAAAACAGTTTTCCAATTTCTGTTTTATCATGTTTCTTACTTTTGTGCATTTATTTCAGAATTTAAATACATTTCTTTTCTCACATAGCAGACTATAATCTGAGATCTCAGACTCACATTTATCCTAATCTCATCCTTAACTTCTAACCATGGGACTTTGCACATTCTTGGACCCTAGTACTCATTGAATGAAACCAGGAATATGTTTACTTTTTTAACAAAATTACTTGAAAAAAAAAAGAAAATTAAGAAAGTACATTTTAGGTTTTTGAATTAAGACTGGATGGGCCTTCCCTGCTTTTTTTTGGGGGGGGTGGGTGGGCGGGACAGGAAGAGGGGGGCAATGAGATTTCCCTATATACTGCAAAACTAGTGATTCTTCTCCTCAGCCCCTCATGTGCTGGTATTACAAGCATACACACCATTGCCAGGTTAAAATGTAATACATTCTAGTAGCAGTTCCAGATCTATTTGCCAATTTTGTTTACACTCTTTATTTTCCAGCAGGTATACTTTTAACACACATTTCAGGAGCAAAGAGAAGATACTTAAATAGCAGTTTCTATTTATTATTTTCCTCCATTTCAACCAACCGTTTCCACATACAGCTTCAGGCCTATGGCTTAAGTGAGATGGTTAGTAGCATCAGTGCTCTCTCAAGAGAGTTGTCCCTGTAGTTAAGGAAAGAAGAGCTTGTTTATTTTGTTTCTAGGTGTTTTGGCCACAGAGACCCTGATAATAAAGCATCAGATAACAAATGAAAACAAATGAATAAATAAAAGGGAAAAAAAAAAGAATTGGCAACATTTCTTTTCTTTCCCTACAGGATATATTTTGGGGAAGTTCAGCTGAGTGGCTTAGGAGAAGGTATGTATCAAGGTTAGAAAACTTGCAGTGTTGAGATCACCCTTAACTTCAGTGATTAGCTTCGTTGTTACCTGTAATAATACATAGCCTGTAATCTCAATGTATATACTACAAGTAAGAAGATAAGATGGCAGATAGGTGGTCCAAGACGGAGCTACCAGGATGAATGAAGAATTTTCCCAGAAGTTCCAAGAACTCTTTTTTTGTGTGTTAAAAATTAGTGTTACTGAAAATAGAGTGCTGTTTCCTCTGCCAATATTGGGTCAATCTAAAATAAATTGAAAAGGGGAGCACACACACACAGAGACACAGTTGAGACTGCCATGTTCAAAGCGAATAATGCAGAGACTGTATAACAGCCTGGAAGATTCAGGAATAAGAGACTAGGGGCAGTGTCTGCATTCTCTGGAAAAAAAGCTAGTACTCTCTCTCTTCTCCTAGGCTTCCAGACAGTTCGAGTTGGGACAGTGGGCACCCCTGTTGGCACCATCACTCTTTCCTGTGCTTACAGAATTAATTTGGCATTCATGTCCACCAGGTAAGGGAGGAGACTTTTACTCCAGAAGAACACTTGCAAGGATTTTAAATCCCGTCTTCCTTAAGCATCCAAGACTAAGGCTACGGTTCACTTTTGTTGTTGGCTGCATGCAGTCCCTTCAAAAGAAGTAAAGAGAGAGAATAGTTGACAGATTGGAGCATTTGAGTGTCCCAGAGCCAACTTGTCCAGAATGTAGAGTTTATAGTTTATATTTGGAGACTGCAATAGTTAAGACTGTGGTAGTACCTGCCAATAGATTGAAAGTGAGGGGAGGGCTGGTGGAGTGGCTCACATGGTAGAGCACCTGCCTACCAAGTGTGAGTACCTGAGTTCAAACCTCAGTACTGCCAAAAATAAAAAGGGAGGGAACCTCTGAAGACTTCCAGGGGGCTGGGAATGAATTCTAACAAATACTGCATTTGTTTATTACATTACAGGCAATTTGAGAGGACCCCACCTATCATGGGGATTATCATTGATCATTTTGTGGACCGTCCCTATGCTAGCTCCTCTCCTATGCACCCCTGCAATTACAGGTGAGGAATGTGAATGGTGCTCTCCCAAACTGCAGCTAGGCAAAACCATCCACTTACCTCATGGACAGAAATGGAGAGGCTAGTTTCCCTTATTGCTGCCTGTTAGGTACACCAAGACGGGGGGTATATAGAATGTCTCAGAAAATTATTGGGCATTCTGAATCTTAATGCTAGTGATAGGACTTTTCTCTGTAGCAAGTTACTTGGAGGCTACAAGAGCACCAGTAGTTTGTGGAATAGTCCAAGCCAAATTAAATGGTTTTCAGATCATCATGTGGTGTTATGAGCTCTGCCTGAAACAGTACTCGATGCAAGCTCTATCTAACCACCTTTTGTATACTTTCTGACTTGGACTACCATCACCATAGAATTCATTGTTTCTTTTCTCCTTACTTCAGAACTGCTGGTGAGGATGCTGGAATAACATACCCATCAGTGGAAGACTCTCAAGAAGTGTGTACCACCTCCTTTTCCACCTCTCCTCCCTCCCAGGTAGGGGGAATTGGGTTCTGGGCTGGTGCTAAAGTTATTTGGGGTATATATACATAGGGGCATATGAATTGATGTCCACATTTAGCTACAGTCCATGTTGTTGGTGGAGGAGATTGTTTCAAAGGGGATATTTTGAAGAGTGACAGAGAGCCTTAGGAAGTGGATACGTGGAAGTGTTTCTAGTCTATAACCATTCTGAACCCACAGGGTTGCATGTAGCTTTATTTTCCTGTCATTTTCAAATTCCCTAGAAAATCAGTCACAGAATCCAAATACGTTCTGGAACCAGATAAGTACTCTAACCTACCCTTGTTAATATACTACCTACTTGTCTTTCGAACTGGTAAATTTGGTTTCTAATTATGGAAGAAGCCCCAAAAGAGTCAATAATTATTTAGTATAAAATTATTTAGTATAAAATTCTATTAAGAAACCAGTAGTGTAGGACTGGAGGCGTGGCTCAAGCAGTAGAGTGCCTGCTTTAACAAGTATGAAGTCCTGAGTTCAGACTCCAGTTCCATAAAAAGAAAAAGAAAAAACAACCAGTAGTGTAGTTCTTCTTGATAGTTGACGCACATATCTGCCTGTCCAAATGCTTTATCCAAACCTTTCAACCATTAACTTTTCCACGTGAGTCAACCTTCAGTGGCAAATCTACTTCAGTAAAGCACAGGCTCCCAATGTCAGCTTCCTCAGAGGAAGGCTCTCCGCAGTCTTGCATAATGGACCTGGTCTGAGACACATCAGCTGGCAGCCATTTTGCTGGTTGACTGACTTTCAGAGTTTCAGTTCTCCCCTTCCACCCCAGCCCCTTTGCCCTCTTCCTCACTGCTGCTAGCACCTCCCATAATCACCACTGTCTTCCTCCTTGATTTCACAGAGCCAGCTTCTTCTAGATCTACTCAGTCGACTTTCCTTTAATCTAGCCCCAGATTGTCCCCTGTCATTCACAATCTTAGTTAGTAGATGCAGCAAATTAATTAGCTCTCCATTAATTTTCATCTTCTTTGCTATTTTATGAAAAATTTAAATTTTTTTCTATCCTCAGTTTAATAGATTCTAGAGTAAAATCATTGTTCTAAGCTGTTTTAAAAGCAGGATTTAATAGCTGTGAATGATATTTGCAAAATCCATGAACCACTTTCAGTTTTCCTGAAAAGGATGTTTGTTCTAGGACTGGAGGTGTGGTTCAATGGTACAGTGTGTACCTCGCATGCAGATTTTCTGTTTTTTTCAGACAAGGTCCCCCGTGTAGCCCAGGCTGGTCTAAAACTTACAATCCTCCTGTCTACGCCTCCTAAGTGTGGAGATTGCAGCTGTACACCCCTTACCTGGGTTTAAAAAAAAGGTGGGAGGGCTGATATTGTGACTGAAGTGGTAAAGCACCTGCCTAGCAAGTGTGAGACCCTCAGTTCAAACCCCGGTACCCTATACCACCAAAAAAATTATTCTAAGGTTGTCTAGACTTTGGTTTGAAGTGTAGGAATGACTCCCTCCCCCCATGAATGTATGTAGGCATGAGCACCAACATTGCTCTGAACAGGGGTGTGGCCTGTGTATGCTTCCTAACACAGAACAAAGTGGACCAAAAAAAAATGGGTAAAGACACACTTGGAGCTACTCCACCAGTCCCTTTTCTCTTTTCTTTCCTTTTTTTTTTTTTTTCCAAATGGCAGTTGGAATCAGGGCTTTGCACTTACTAGGTAGTACTCTACCACTTTGCAACACACCTTCAGCCCTTTTGTTGTTTTAGTTTTTTGGTGAGACTAGGGTTTGAATTCAGGGCTTCCCGCTTGCAAAGCAGGCTCTCTACCGTTTGAGCCACACCTCCAGTCCACCCTTTATTTTTAGTTATTTCTTGGATAAAGGGCTCATTTTTGCCCAGGATAGTCTCAGACTTTGATCCTCCTACTTATGCCTCCTAGTAGCGTAAGTATTTGTAGGTGTGTACCACCACACGCAGCACATTGGGGTTGAGATGGGAGCTCACTAAATTTTCCCCCCATCTGGCCTTAGACCTCGATCCTTCCAATCTCTGCATCCTGAGTAGCTGGGATTATAGTGTAAGCCACAGTGACTGGACCAAGGCTCACTTTCTTACCAGTGCATTAATGGTTTGTTTTTCTTTAAAGCCAGCTAGAATGTGGGCATGTCAAATTTAACTTCATTAAAATGTTTTATTCTGTTTTACAAGTGATAGGTTCATAAACAATAAATACAGTTGTGGCTTAGTAGCTAACAAATCAGTTTCTCTGATACAGTGGAAATTTGACCCCATAGTCATTGTCTTCTTTCCTTTTTTTGGCAGTATTATGGTTTGAACTCACAACCTGTGCTTGTGCTTGCTCAGGCACTCTATCACTTGAGCCACACCCCCAGCCCTGGACCCCTTTAGGGTTAAAACAGATGTTAAGTAGTTTCTGCACCTGATGTTTACATAAAAGCATGTTGGCTTATGTAAAGAAAGGCTATGTTTTTTGTGATTTCAAATGCCAATTGTGTCTTGTCATGGTTTAAAACTAACTCGTTATCTTGGTGCCAGTGGTTACACTTGTAATCCTAGCTACTTGGGAAGCTGAGATCACGAGGATCAAGGTTTTAGGCCAACCTAGGCATATAGTTCCTGAGACCCCCATCTCCAAAATAACAAGGGCAAAATGGACTTGGAGGTGTGATTCAAGATGTAGAGCTCCTGCTTTGTAAGGAGGTGGGGATGTGGCCCAAGTGGTAGAGTGCCTATCTAGCAAGCATGAGGCCCTGAGTTCAAACCCTAGCATCACCAAAAATAACAAAACAAAAAATGCTAAATCATGCATAAGGTTCAGTGGTTAGAGCACTTACCTAGCTAATGTGTGAGGCCCTGGCTTTCATCCTTAGCACTGAAAAAAAAAACAAAAAAACCCAAAGCAATACCAGATTAACCTAAACTAAACCATGCCAATATTTCACAACAGCACGCACTTCATAAGTGAATCTTTAGTCCCTCTAATCAAGGCTGGTACAGTTTGATGAAGAAATACTCATTTTGAACCTCAATGATAGAACAGAGAGAAAATCATTTGTTATCATTTCTCCTCAGTCCTTTTAATATTAAGTTTCTTTGTTAGTTTAATCCATTCATTTACATAATTATTCAGCAACTTCTATTGAGCTTTTGCTAGAGTCCAGTAAAAACATGCTAATGTGATGTTTGTTTTGCTGACAAAAAAAGGATCATTGTGTCATTTGGACCTAGAGTGGAGGCATGAGATAGTCATCATCCTGAGCTTGCTGCTGTTTTCTATAGCTCTTCATCTAGTTCTAAGCATTGATTAGTTAATTGGCCAAATTTAAATCTGGAACAGCAAGACCCCGAATAATCATCATGCCCATAAGTGCTTTCGAAATCGTCACACTTTTTTGATGAAAGACAGACCAATGCTCAGTTAAGATTTCTCTGTTTTTCCAAGTCATACCCACTTGAGTTAGCTTGATTTTCCAGCTGCTTGTCTGGGAGATGGGCCTGCAGGATGTGCACTGGGATAAATGTCACTTCTAGGGCCTCCCCGCCCCCATGTTTTCCCTTTAGGAAGCCAGCGTATTCCACTCTCCTGTGTCACTCCTGAGTTACCCTGTCTCTCCAGCCTCTCACTGCCAGCCTTCCGGAGGTTTTTTCACTTCTTTCTCAAGTCCCTTTTCTTTTTTCTTCTCTTGTTTCTCCTGTTTCTATGTGTGTCTGTGCACAGTGTGTGTTTACTGTCACAAAGGCACATTTTCAGACCCCTACTCCTGTGGTGACGGACACTCTGAGGGTCCCCATGGCAGGACTGGCCTTTTCCCATCAAGTGAGTTCATAATGGGTAGAAGGGGATATTATCAGCTGTCTTCTTTCTATTTACAAAGTGTAAGTAGAGTACAGGGCATAGTTATTTAGATGTCCCTAAGTGTTCTTTGGGATTATTTTGAGGCTGGTAATTGATTTTAAGAGGACACAGCCACAACCCAGCAGCCCAAAATAGGGATTTTCATCTGCCCCTCCTCCTTCCGCTGATGTGAAAAATGCATGCAGTTATTTATATCCAATTTCCAAATAAACAATTCAAGATTGGTGTTCTTTCTTTTTTAATATAAATAGGAACCCTTCCATCCCCGGGGGCGATGGAGGGTGTGACTATAGAAGATGGCCTGTTTCAAAGGGACCTCAAGGACAGAGGAGAAAATAGAATGACTTTGGAAAAACTGATGACTTTGGTTCCCAGTTTGGCCTAGGGTTATACCTTAGAGATCTGCTGGGCTCAAAACAGAAGCACTTAACTGAGCCCCTGGGAACAGGGGAGCAAGAAGCTCATTTGTGGCCTTTGGGAAGCTCCAGAACTGAGATCCCAATCCCAGTACAAATAAGTGTCTGTGGGTTTTTTTTAATCTAAAAAGGGGTCTCAAAAGGCCTGGCCACCTTATCCTGTATTGTACCAGGCCTCTGTGCTATTGGGTGAGTGGGCTGGGATCTGATCCTTCCTTTCTGCTGAGCTCCATTGTTTGTCATCCGCTAGGATTGCCTGTTTTTTCCTGCCTTTCCTCTGCCCTTCTGTTTTTCTCTTGCTCAGCTCTCAAGCTCTCGCCTTTCCTATCAGCCTGCTGTCCTGGGCCTTGGATCAGCTGACCTGGCTTATCCAGTAGTGTTTGCTGCTGGCTTAAATGCTACACACCCTCACCAGGTACCTTACAGATGGGAAGGACCATGGGCTTTCCAGGGCTGCCTCCCTGCCCTTGAGCAGTCAAGGGACCTCTTCAGACACAAATAGTACACTAAGGGTTTGGAAGCAAAGCTCTTTGGTAAATTTTAAAGGACAAAGTGAATCTCTGAGAGGAAGGAGCCTCTAAGACTTCAGAGAGGAAAAGATGACTTTCCTAGGGCTTCTCTCCTTCTTTCCTTCTCCTTCTATAGTCATCTCCACACATGTCTTCCAACAGGCACATCCTCAGAGGATAAAAGATTCAGGATGTCTACCTACCTCTTGAAAGTAGACACCGTCAAGTTAGGATAGGAAGTTCCCCTTTAGCCTGACACTGCCGTGATTCACTGTATCTTTCCATTTCCCCCCTAAGCTTATGGTTCCTGGGAAGGAAGGTGGAGTACCCCTTGCTCCCACCCAGCCCGTACACGCTGCCCAGGCTGAGCAAGAGAGACTGGCAACTCACACTCCTGCTGATGGTATCCACTGTGCTGCCACACCTTCCAGCAGGTGAGTCCCTGTTGTGGCTCTGCCACTGGTGAGGCCAGCCAGGGCCCTGGATACCCTGACACACAGGGGTTTGGGCTTGGCATTTGTGCCCTAACTGGGAAATTCTTAAAGTTCCCTGATAAAAATCTGGTATTACAGCTGATATGTAAGGAAGCTGGCTCAGGGCTTTACAAGGAACAGCAAGGACTTGGTTCTTATTACCCCATCCAGTGAAGATGTTGTCAGATGTCAGCTGGTGGCTGATGCCTATAATCCTAGCTACTCAGGAAGCAGCGATCAGGAGGATCGTTGTTCAAAGCCAGTCCTAGGGAAATAGTTCATGAGACCCTATCTCGAAAATACTCAACACATACAAAAGAGCTGCTCAAGTGGTAAAGTGCCTACCTAGCAAGCATGAAGCCCTGAGTTCAAACTCCAGAAACTACAGTACTGCCTCCCCGCCACCCCAAAAAAGTTCCTGGTTCCTAAGGACCAAAACAAGATGTTTTCCACAGCTCTGAAGTCAAAGGCCATGGGATATCTGTGATTGGGGTTGGGACTGATTTTTCTTTTTCTGCTGTATTAGAGCCTCACGGAAACTCTGAAAATGCCTGTTTCCCCCATTAAACAAAGAAATTAAGCCAGGCTTGGTGGCATGCCTGTAATACCAGCCATTCAGGAGGCTGAGGCAGGAGAATGGAGAGTTCAAGGTTAGCTTGGGCTACATAGACCCTATCTTTTCTGATGATTGAAGTAGTAGATTCTATGAATTTCAATCACTTTACATAATCACTTGTGTAAAGACTAGAAGGCTGCAGCATAACTTGTGGCATGCACAAGGCCTGGTTGCATCCTTAGTGCTATAAACTAAATAAAGACAATGAACCTCAGGGTTAACCGATTGGCCGAAGGTCATCTAGTCCAGCCTTGCTAAGCAGGCATTCTACCACTTGAGCAATTCCTTGAGCCCAGAATTTTATTCACATATTTAGTTGCTATAGCCAGAGCAGTCTACTTTTAACTCATCAGGCAGGGGACAGTGGCAGCAGCCAATTCCTGCCCTGGCCACAGCCTCACAAGAGTGTAGACTTATGGGGAACCAAGTTGTTCTGTGGTTTGAGAATGAGCAACATTTTCTCTTCTAGTGAGGACACTGAAACTGTATCCAACAGCAGCGAGGGACGGGCCTCCCCACATGATGTCTTGGAGACAATCTTTGTCCGAAAAGTGGGAGCTTTTGTCAACAAACCCATCAACCAGGTCACCATCTGCCACTGTCACCTGTGAGAATGTCTGTGTCCTTAGAGTAAGGCTCTATGGACAGCATCTTGTGCAAGTACTGAGACTGCTTGCAAACTTGTGTGTGTGTATGAGAGAGAGAGAGAGCGAGAGAGAGAGAGATAAATTTTTCTGGGAGAGGACTAATTATTTGTGATTCCCCCCACCTCTGTCTTGGAATCTAGACATTATTTAGTACACAACCATGTACTGTGCTCTTGCCTTAACCTTAATCTTGAAATGGGAAATTCCTCCTCCATGGAGCCAGTGACACACATTGTTCCTGAGTTGCTGTGTATCAAGTTTCCCCAGCAGAATTACCAGGGTCCCCTGCTGTGGGCTTAATGTGATATGGGACAAGAAGACAAGGAAGCCAGGACAGCATGGTCAGCCTAGGTGTGGGAACCTGCTGGACCTCTGGGCTTCTGATGGCCTATAAGGAGCCTGAGAGCCTGGGGAGGGGCCTACATGAATGCTTCTCTCCTGTGTCTCTTCAGGTGACTCTGACAAGTTTGGACATCCCCTTTGCCATGTTTGCTCCTAAGAATTTGGAGCTGGAAGATGCTGATCCTATGGTGAGCCCACCAGTGACTACTAGTTTCCAGTAGATGGTACAGTAGTCATCATCCTTCCTAGGCCACACAGTCAATAGGTCCTACACAGAGTGTAAGCCACACCCCTTGGCTTCTGGATTTGCAGCCAGCATTAGGTTCCTTATTCAGCCGTCATGTAGCTCACAGTAACATGCTTTTGGTTCACAGACTTAACCCTGACTCTGCCTTATTCTGAACCAGGTGAACCCTCCAGACTCCCCAGAAACAACATCTCCTCTCCATGGCAGCCTGCACTCAAATGGCTCCAGTGGGGACAGCAGCAGTAATGCCCATGACGACTTTGTGATGATCGACTTTGTAAGTTGGTATCCCCTCCCTCAACCTTTGCTGTTCCAGAAAGATAAACCTAGCAACACCTGTTGCACTTGAACAGATGGGCTGGTGCAGGCAGAAGGATTGGATGGTTTGGAGGGGGCTGTCCTGGCTAAGGAGACATTTGGAAGCCTTAAAAGATACTTTGTGCCATGTCTTTGGTTGAAAGCCATAATGCAGTTCAACTATAAATGGGGTTTTCAGCAGTATCCACTTAGGAAAGGAGTTGAAGGAAGTGGTCACAAACCTAACCAGGTAATGGAATTTTATCACCAAGATTAAAAGTCTGTAGCCAGAAGAGCAAGGTGTAAAGGTTCCTTTCCCTAAGATAATTTTGGAAGAAGATTTACTTTGATAGTTCCTGGAAAGAAAGAGGATAGTTCTCTCCACTATGATTTTCCTTCATTGTGCAAGGCAAGCTAAACTGAATCTGTCTTATTTTTAAAGAAACCAGCTTTCTCTAAAGACGACATTCTTCCAATGGACTTGGGGACCTTCTATCGTGAATTTCAGAACCCCCCTCAGCTGAGCAGCCTCTCCATAGATATTGGAGCCCAGTCCATGGCTGAAGACTTGGTACGGAAAGTTCTTCCTCACCATTGCTGCTCCTCAGATCTTCATTTGATGGTCATTCCTGTGTTACAGGCCTACAGATTTCTTCCTGTTAATTCTTTTCACCACTGTGCCTCCATCTTTCCTGTAACAAACAGGACTGTTTGAGATGTGTGTGGCACCTGACAGTTATCTTGAATTTGCTTGAGCTCTGTTCTTTTCTCTGCACCTTCTCTTTCTCACACACTCTTGTCCTGGGCCTGCTGTTTTCTGCAGGGCAGAGGAGCACATAGGTTCCGAGGATCAGTGATCTTGTCTTCCTTGGCGAGCTCCCTCCTGCATCTAGTGTTGCTCAAGCTTGGCCAGGTGTCCTGAGATTGACCATAATTACCACATCTCTGCTTAGGGCATTGCCTATTTCCTGCCTCTGAAGGACAGAAGAATGCCTTGCACAAGCCACAAACTCAGGGTTCCCTACTTCACAAAAATGGCAATGTCCCTCTGTCTAAAGTAGCACTGTGGAATTACAGGCCCTAGGAAGATCTGGCCTTAATTTGCTTTAACAGAAAACGATGCTCAGTAGGAATAATATTAACATTGATTGAAAAAAAAAAGACAAAAAAAACATTGATGAGAGTGGCCTAAGCACCAAGATTTCCTTTCTTCCTTCCTTCCCTCCCTCCTTCCATGGTAGTGGGGATCGAACCCTTGGCTTGGCACATGCCAGGCAAACACTGTACCACTGAGCTGTACTGCCAACTCCTATCAAGCATTTTTCTCAGTGCTTTAATTTGAGTCTTAAGTAGCCCTAAAGAATGTTTTTTTAATCTCAGTTTATAGAAGAGAAAACTGTGAGTAACTTGCTCATGGTCACCCAGAGCCAGGCAAAACAAAGCTTTCATCCCAAGTGGCCTGGCTCCTGAGCTGAACCCTCTGAACTACCAACTTCCCAGTGCTATTGATGTGCTCCACAGCCGGTACTAGCTGGCTCCCAGGCCTTCCTCCTACTTGGGCAGCTGTGACCCTCTGCTGTCAGGGTCTCCAGGCCACTTTGAGGTCTGAAGCAGGCAAGTCTCCAGCCTCTCCCAAGTCCCTTGTGCTTAAACTCCACTGTAGGCAGATCTCCCTGTGTTAGTTGGGCCCCACAGATGCAGTTTCTGTTGCTTGTTCCTAATGAGGCAGACCACTGGGAAGGGCCAAATCTGTATTATTAGTAGCTGGTGGCACTGTAGGGAAGGGCAGTGCCCATGGTTCTGTTTTCTTCTGGTTCTCTTTTTTTTTTTTTTTTTTTGGTGAGACTGGGGTTTGAACTCAGGGCTTTCCACTTGCAAAGCAGGTTGCTCTACTGCTTAAGCCATACCTCCTCCAGTCTTCTGCTTCTCTGTTTTACTGTCCTTCTCAGCCCCACCCCAGCCACTGTGATGCCTGGTCTCCCACAGGTGTACTGTTACAGTCTTAGGACTGCAGTGGCAGCCTTGTCCCTCTTCTCCCAGGCATTCTGATACCCAGAAAGGGGGTGGAAAAACCTTAAACTTTCCTTGATTTGTACTGCACTAAACTTACAGCTTTGTTCTAGTGTCAGTCTGATCTGTGCCAAGGATATTTCATGCTTAATTTCTCCATTTTATCCCATTCTTGGCCTGCTCTACCCTTTCTGTCTCGTGGAGTGTGTGGTCCACTTTTGTCTCCCCAGGCTGTCGCGCAACCCCACAGCCACCACAAAACCCCAAAGATATGTCCCTTCCCCTGTCCCATTGCCCACCCATACAGCTTGCTAGGTGAGCTCTGTCTTGCTCTCTTCTTCAGCTCCGGGTGACTGGCTGGCTGCCTCTCACAAGGCTGCCTGAATAAGCTCCTCTTCTCTCCTCCCGGTGCAGGACTCATTACCAGAGAGGCTGGCTGTTCATGAGAAGAACGTCCGTGAATTTGATGCCTTTGTAGAAACTCTGCAGTAATTTCCTCAAGCACTAGCAGCATCCCTTTCTATGGTCCCAGGGGACAGAGAGCCTCCCACTCCTCCGCTGTTCCTGTCTCTCATGCTGCTCCTAGCTGAGTAGAGGGAAGGATGGTTCCCCATGGGGATCCAGAAGCCCTGCTCTTGAATCTCCTGGAGACTCCATGGTGGTGGTCAGGCCAAGTGACTGCCTTTGAGAGGACTCACCCTCTGGCCTTGGAGATGGAAGACTCATTGTAACAAAACTTCAGCAGGGCCATCTGCATTCCCACCCGTCATAAGTTGATTCACAAAAGGTGTCATGCAGTTCCTGCTGTGGCCAGCCTCCTCTCTCTGTCTGCCCTGTAGCTGGAACTGCATGTATGTTTTTACCATAAACCATTTGACATCCCAGCTGGTGGCCCAGAGGCTGGGGAAAGGCAGAAAGAGGAAGGAGAGCATTGGGAGGAAGAACGAGGGTCGTGTAGGCCCTCTGGGTGTCTCTTTTAGTTCCTAGGTCTTCTCTCAGTCTCTTCTCTTCTCTTGCCTGTGCTTTAGGCAGTAAGAGAGGCATGCTTACCCAAGATGACAAGAACCACAGGCTGTGCTGGCCCTTACCAGAGGTCTGAGCTGCCCTGGTGGCTGCCTTTGCTCAGTTCCTCAGCTCCATGTCGGGGAGAAGGGGGACTGAATCTTGTGTCTCTAGGATTCTATTATCAAGAGCCACAGTAAAGATTTTTCCCTTCTCCTCCCTCCTCCAGATTGCTGCTCCTTGGTTAGAGGACATGGTAAATATTTATTACTTTCAGAGAAATCAGATATTTTATAGGAGAAAATATGTTTGAGGTTAGATGTTTCACTTGGGGAAGGCGCAGGGCCTCTTCCTGGGACAGAGGCCTCCTGTGGAGGTTCCTCGGGATCTGGGCTACTGCTTGGATGGAGGCTCTTTCTTCCCGTTGCATAGAAAGTGGGATCCGAGAATGGGGCTGGTGAGGGCCAAGTGACCTCCAAGAACTGCATCTGAACTAACAGCAGGCTTTCCCCTGCACACCTACAGACTCATGGTAAGTGCATCACTTGCACACAGCTTCTGCAGTGTCTCCCTCTGGCAGCCCAGGAAGTCCTGGAGGTGCTTTAAATGCAGTGACCCCTCAGAGTTGCACACATGCAGTGTCCAAGAGGCATGGGTGTGTCCCTGCTACTGGAGTACTTGTTCTTAATCCTCGAGGCTGGACTCCTCCTTCTGCTTGGCCTTGGTCACCACCTCTCTTTAATACCAGGGTCTGTACATTGCCCTGGGTTTACAAGCTGGAATGATTTCCTATTGAGAAACCAAAGCGGGGCATGTGATCGACTTAACTCTTCAGGTATTTTGCTTGAGGAAGTCCAGTGCCTCACTACCTGTCCTCTCCCAGCCTGGCCTAGCAGAACCAGACTGCCTTGTGCTCCTGGCCCTCTCGGTACTCATTGGCAGCAGCTGTTTTTCAGTGGAGTAGGTTTAACTCTCAGTTGCATGTTAGTGAACTGCACGTGACCCTGTTCCCACTACCAGGCTGATTTCTGAGGGCTGGAGTGGGCTTTGGAGGGGAGCCCTGCCCCTGTACATGGTTCTGCTACCAGAGAAGTGTTCCCAGACGTGGTGGCCAACTGGCCATCTTGTCTTTGAGCCATGGCACATCCATGGCCTTTTGAACCAATCAGGTTTGCCCCCAGGGCCATTGCTGAGGAGGAAGAGCCCTGGTAAATTGATGTCCCCATCCTGGCCACTGCCTTCCCTCCCAGCCCCTGCAGGGAAAGGCCTGCTATTGTCTGAGGTCGTCTTTGACTCCCTATTCATAGCTTCTGGGCAGTAGCCTTTCTCCAGGATTCCTCCCTGTGAAAAGGCCAGGGAGGCTGAGCCCTGACTGAGCTGAGCCAGGGAGAAAGAGCAGGGCAGCTATCCAGGCAGCCCTTGGCCCTGCATGATGGAAAGGATGAGCCCTAGACTGACCCTCACAGTATCCCCAGGCAGAGGCTGGGACCAGTCAACTGCCTCCAGGTGGCAAAGGCTCTCTTCCTCATCTAGTGTACTTTGGAAATAACTGAGCTATACTTTGAAATGTATTCAAAAGATTTCCAATAAAATTTTTTCTGTACTTTACAACTTCCTGTCCCACAAGTTGTCTGGATACCTAACCCACCCCTTCCCACCTCTAGGCAGGTCTGGGTCACCATCAGGCTCTCTGAAAAGGGGAGGATGGGACCTTGTGAAGCTCAGAAAGTCCTTGGGGCTTGACCACAGGGTGCTGGCAGTGCTGGGTTAGTCAGGAAGCTTCCTAGGGCCTCATTTGCCTTGTATTATTCCCATGACAGTGGAGTGGTGCATTTTAATATTCAAAGAAAATGTTTATCACAAGTACACCTGCAGTAAAATCTCCATGAGAGGTAGACCACTGTCATCAGCTCTTTATTCTTCCTTACACAACACACTTTGCCTGTAGGAGATGGTCCTGGCTGGGAGGGAAGGAAAAGTGGTAGATGCTGCCATTTTCCAGCAGAAGACAGGAGGGTGCGGTTACTGTTAGTAAGAGGGTTGTGGCTGAGTGAACCTGATGGAAGGGAAGGAAGTGAGGGAAGTAGCAGGAAGTTAAGCGCCTGTGCAAGTTTATTTTGCTGCCCTAATCTGATAAATGACCCCAGTAAGGGTGCTGAACTCTTAGGGGAGCTGGGAAGAGAAGGGCCCTGCAGGGACCAGGCCTGTCTGACCCCAGGGGCTCTGCCTGCAGGCCTCCTAACCCTGGCAAAGCTAGCACGGGTTCCTAGTTTTACGCCTTTAGTGGTGGCATGGGAGGGGATCCAGTGTGCCAAAGGCAGAAATCGTTCTAGATGCAAAAGAGACTAACTGTCCACCTCCCTTCTTGTTGAATGAAGTCAGTCAGACCGCAGAACAAAAACGGGACCCTCAATGCATGCATGATGGCTCACACCTGTAATACTATTTTGGGAGGCTGAGATTGGGAGTATCAAGGTATGAAGTCAGCCCAGGCAAATAGTTCACAAGACCCCCATCTCCAAAATAACCAGAGCAAAATGGACTAGAGGTGTGGCTCAAGTGGCGCATGCTTTGCAAGTGTGAAACCCTGAGTTCAAACCCCTGTCCCACCAAACAACAAAAAGACCCTCAGATTATAAATTCAGCCCAAACCTCAGCCCACTCTTGCCAGAAAGGTTTTGTGCACTCTTGCAGTTAGTACATTAACTACATATGACACTGACCCTAAACCTGACTGCAGCAAGGGCATTTGCCCAACCTGTGGGTCAGAAATGTTGGACCATTCCTGCTGACCACCCCTTGAGTTGGGATTGACAGAAGCAAAATGCTCAGCTGTGCCATGACCAGCAGTGGTGTCCTACTCCTGTGAAACATCTCTGCACTCCACCCCGGAGACACTGCCGCTAAAGCTTTGGGAAATTGGTCCTCGAAGACCTCAGCATAGGCTCTGCCAGTAGCCCAGCCCAAGTAAACAGCTCTTTCTCTCTCCTCCTCCCTTCCTGTTTCCCTGGCCACAGCCTTGATGCTCCAGTTGCCCCCCTTAGGACTGCACAGAGCTAGTAAGAGGAGGCTACCCGTGTTATGCATTAAGGTTCCGAGATGACAGCCATAGTTGTGCAGTGGGACTCCTTGGAGCTCAGGGCCGGTGTTCATCACCATCTTATCACTGCCTGATTGTGCTCTGGCTGGGCTGGCCCAGCCCAAGCAGGCAAGGAAGTGGAAAAAGCAGGCCCAGATGAGGCTACCATGGCCATCTGATTGCAATAGGCAGTCACACAGAAGACACCTGAAACTTGGCTTTGACAGCTGTGCCAAGTGAATTTTTGGCCCCTACACTCCCGGTGACAAACTGTTAAAAAAAAAAAAATCCCATGGTAGAATCTGGTAAGATTTACCATCCTTCTTTGTTGTTTTTCATTGCTCGGGTTGGACGCCAGGGCCTTGTACATGGTAAGCAGGTGCTCTACTACTGAGCTAACGACTCAGCCCAAAATTTACCATCTTAACCTTTAAAGCAAAGCAAATCTGCTTGAAAGAGGAAGGGAAAACCTGATCTTTCATAGCCTCTACCTGGTAGGTGGCTGGTGGAAAGTTTCACCTCCTAAGCCAAGGGCAGGGTGAGGAGAAAAGTAAGGGCAGAGGTGTGGCTCAAATGGTAGAGTCCCTGCCCTGAGTTCAAACCCTAATACTGCCAAAGGAAAAGGATACAGGGGTTCCAAACCAGCTGTCACTTCACTCATGGTCCTGGTTACCACTGTGTTAGGTACCGCAGACAGTATTTTTGGTCCTCAGAGGAACCACATTCTGATGAGATGGTCTCAGAAAGTGAGGCCAGTACTATGTCACTGTTAGAGGTGGGAACTGATGGAACCATGAGCCAAACCCTAGTGTGACTCCCAAGCCATCCTATGTTCACCACAGTCCACTCTAGTTTTCTCCCTTGCTGGCTTTAGAAAAATCTAAGTTCCCTTCAAGCTTCCAGTACCTTCCAGGTGAGAGCACAAGGGCTCTTGGTCCTAGATACAACACATGCAGATCTGACCAGCTGGAATGCTGCAGGTACAAAAAAAAAGTGACAGGCCTAGAAGATGGCCTTTGACCTGCTCACAAGTGATGGACTGGAGGACAGTTTTCCATCTCCATTTTTATTGAAATACAAAAAGTGCAAATGGTGAAATCCATGATTGGTGCCAAGGAAGTCATACGTGTGAATGTGAACACTTGATTCACAGTACAAGTGCCCCCAGGTTCAGACCAACAGATCAGGGGACAGGAGAAAGACAAGATATATTCAAAAGGCACCCCAGTAATTGGGACTGTGAGAAACACTTTATATACAAAAGAGGGGGTGGGGTGCAGAAGCAGTGGCCCAGGGAAGGCCAGGCTAGCAACACAGAGACTGACAACCAGTAGCAGCTCCAGACTCCTGGAGGCCTGGGGGCCGGCTCAGTGAGAATCCCCACACTACAGGCTCTGGAGTCGGTTTGCCTGGCCACAACTGTGGTGGCAGGGTCACTAAGTACGTACCTGCAACCAGGGGAAAAGGCTGCAGGGAGAGAAACTCAGGGTTCATCAGGAAAAAGTGGAATGAGGGAGATCAACTATCACTGGGGTCCAGGTTTTCTGAAAGATAATAGATTCCTGGGGCCCCATACTCTCTCTCAGGAAGGTTGCTAGAACTTGCCCAGCAGGGGCTGATCTAGCAAAATCTCTGCCCCTCCTATGGGCCTTCTAGGCTTCTACCCCTTCAAGAATCCCCAGGCTAGAGGCACTGAATCACCTCTGGCCAGAGCAAGGACCAGAGTGACTCCACAACAGACACATCCACAAGAGCCTGTGGCTGAGGACCTGTACGTGTGAGAGAATACAGGTAAAGGCATGGAGAGTAAAGACTGCTCACCACATGCCCACCTGACGCTAGAGCTCTCCCTAGGAGGGAAGGGGCCTATTGCAATGGCTGCTGGGATTCTGAGTCCTGTCATCCAAGCTGCTGGTCTTGGAGAACTAGGGGGATAGGACATGTTGAGGCAGTAAGTACCACTTGGCAAAGGCGGACCCAGTAGGCAGAAATAGGACAGTGACTCCAGCCTTGTCATTCCTTAGCTGCGGAACTACCCAAGTTGAGCCATTAGTAGGCAGGACAGGATCAGGGTACTTACATCCAGGCAACACTTGGTGGACTCCTAAAAAAGCAGAGCAACTGACCCAGAAAGGGAGGCACCTCAGCTCGGCCAGGCCAAGCCAAGGACCTCAGCTGTCCATTCCCTACCAATCAGGAAGGAGAGGACCAGCCCCAGCTACCAGCCCAGCCAGCAGTGATTTTGTGGTCCACAGCTGCCAGGAAAACAGAGGCAGGAAAAAGCAGGAAACGGATTACTGGGGCTCAGTCCTTCTCCATGTTGAAGAGCCAAACCCAGCTCTGGAGAGCCCAGCAGAAACCAGGCATCCGGAGAGGCAGTGAGAAGTAGAAGGCGAAGAAAATGTCTCATGGTAACAGCGAGGCCGCCAGGGCCTGTGAGTTGGAATGAACTGAAGGAAGGAGTTGCTCCCTGGTTGACTGGCTCCAGCATCCATCTCCAGGGACTTCACAGCCCTTTCTGGAGCCCAGGGCTCCTGCAAGCCTGACACCAGGAGCAAGAGTCCAAGCGGGGACTGCCAGAGCAGGTGGGTGGGGGCTGGGCTCAGGGCCCCTTGGCCTCAGTGCTGGGGAACAACTCCCCTTGGTGATCCAGGAGGAACTTGGTGAAAGTGTTGATGGGGTTGATGGCCTTGAGGGTAATGGCAGCATCCTTGGCCCACAGCAAGTTAGGGCCGAAGACCACAGCCAGGTTAGTGTTTGTCATCTTGTTCTGCTCACAGTGGGCAGAAATCTGTGGAGGGAACGGTGGGGGAGCTGTAGGCTCTCCTCCCGCCCTCCCTTCACCCCCGGGTTAGCAGTAGAGGCGGGGATGAGATCTCACCTGCACCAGGAAGGCAGTCAGAAAACGAAGCACCTGGTAGTTCTCCTCTGGCAGTGTCCGGAGGACCTGCTGTGTCGCCTCCACTCTCTGGCTCTCATCAATGTCTATGAGGAGTAGGGCCCAGGTTACAGGGATACTAGGCTGACTCAGGACACCCTGACCCAAAGCCAGTGCGGAGACCTAACCAGACCTCCTTAGAGATGCCTAGGCCCACAAGCTTCCAGGGCAGTGTGGGTGGGTGAACAGACAGCAAACACACCCACCCCAAGTTCAGTCCCAGGCCTGGCAGAAGATGTGGCTGGGGAGGGAAGAGAGGAGAACTCACTGAGGAAGCCCACAACATGAAGGTAGAGGTCAAAGGTTAGCAAGGGCTCAGGAAGCTCCCGAAGAAAGGTCTTGAGGATGACCGCTGGCAGGTGCAGCTCATTGTACTGGTCAAAGTCCACTGGTAGGCCTGGGTGGGCAGAGGCAGTAGGGAGAGAGCTAGGCCCAGCCCAGGCCAGCAATCCATTGGAAGCCAGGCAGGTCCCACTCCACTGAGTCACTGCATGAGCCCCCTCTTTCCAGGGGACCTCTTACACCTGACTCCCCTCTTCCTCTGCAGCAGGGGATGCTGGGTGGAGTGGACCCTTTGCATACATTACATTGACTCCTCACCTCTGAATGAGCCTGAACCCAGGGCCTCAGGGCCTATAGATGAGGCAGCAAGCTTGGGATAGCCAAACAGAAGTGGACCATGTAGTGACACCAAAAGTCACAAAAACCTCTGACAGGAAGAGAAGCTGGCACATTGTTAACAAGGTAGGAGAAGGGAGACAAGCACCTCCCCCCAACAATTATACTATGCACCCCTCCTCTCTCTCTTGCATGCACTCACGTGCACACACACACACACAGGGCCTGTACCCCCCCCACTCACCCATGTTGTATTTCTGCTGCACTTCCCGTACGACTTGGGTGTTGGCTGATCTCCGAAAAATGCCCTCAGTGGTAAGAGCTGGGGAACAGTGAGCCTCAGAGCGCTGGCCAGTAGTGGTTTCCCAACCCACTCTGCCCACTCTGTCTCATGGCTCCAATGGGGGCAGACCTACCCCACCCCTGCCCAGAGCTCAAGGGCAGCTGAGGCAGGTAGGCTTTGGAAATCAGTGGTCCCACAGCTGCTGACCAGGGCCCTGGCACTCACCGTGGGCCTGGAGGTAGGCAACAGTTTCCCTGAGCACAATTGGAATGGGATCCTGCTCTGGGTTCTTCTCTTGGAGACTACGGAAACAGGGATGACAAGCTGGGTGTAAGGCCTGGCCTAGCTCCAGAGCCCTGGCCGTCCACCCTTTGCATACTCACTGCTGCAATGAGACACCAAACTGCTGGTTGGGCAGGGGAGGCCGTGGTGGCATGGGCTTAGGGGCTGTTGCAGGGCTCTTCTGTGTGGATTTGAGGAAGTCATCGTACCTAGGGGAGCAGATGGGATGAGAATCAGGCCCTCTGGCTCTGTGTGTGTAGTTTTGAAGGTCAACTTTATTAGGCCTTTACTATGCAGTTTTACATGTGAGGTTCATTTAATCCTCAGAACAACCCTACCTCATGTGACACACAAGGAAGCACACACTTTAAGAGATCCAGTCACAGATTGTAAGTGACAGAAATGGGGGTTTGGTTTTGCTATGACTGACACTATTTGCCATCTGAATCATGACACTGGCTTTCTCCCATTACTCTGGGCTCTGCTGACTTCCCTCCCCTGGCCAGCTTCTCCTGCCCCCAGACATAACATGCATACACATATTGTGGGCACGCACAGTCCCTGCCCACCAGCAACCCTTCCCCGCCTCACTTGAGCACTTGGCGAGGGATTCCCAACTGCTCCAGCTTCACATGTTCACTCAGCTCACTCAAGTAATTCACATAGAAGATCTTCCGTCCAAACTTGAAGCTGTCAATGGAAGGCCTGGGTCAGGGTGGGCCTCCAGGTAGGCTGTAGCTCTCCCCTCAGCCCACCCAGTTCAGACAGAGGCTTTGCCTCAAACTGGTAGCCTGGGCGCATGCTCAGAGACCACCTGCCTCCTGGGGCCTGCTCACCTAATGAGGGGCTTGAAGAGGATGAGCAGGGTTTTGATGAACATGGTTGGGTGCACGATGTACAGGGCTTTGATGTTCTTCTTGTACCTGTGGGTCAGACAGGGAGTGGGTAGGGCAGGAGACACAGGGCTGGTTCATTCTGTTTGCTTTTTAAGACGGGGTCTTCCTATGTAGGCTTTTGCTTTAGTTATTTTTCCGATAGGGTCCTGAGTTTTTGCCCTGGCTATCTTCAGACAGATTCTCCTACCTATTCCTCCCTCATAGCTTGGGATCACAGTTCTGCACCACCACACCCACTTATTGGTTGAGATAAGGTCTTGCTAACTTTTTTTTGCACAGGCTGGTCTTGAATCATGATTCTCTGATCTCTGACTCTCGAGTAGCTGGGATTAAAGGCGTGAGCTACCATGCCCAACCAGGGCTGCTCCTTAGCAAACAAGCTAAGTCTGATTTGACTACTTGAAGTGCCATTGTTGCCCCACTTGATGGACTGGGAAACAAAAGGCTCAGCAAGGTTCAATAACATAAAGGTCACAGAGGAGTGTAGATTCTTTGTGTTCACCCAGATGGGAACCCTGCCTCCTGCTAGCATGGAATAAGCTCCTGCCTAAGTGGAGGGCAGCCTGAAGCCTACAAAGGTGCTAGCCCAAAGCTACCTGTTCCAGGTCCAGGAACCCACCCCCATGCACCAACCCACTTTCGGTCAAACTCCCGGTAAGCATCCCGCAGCCAGCTGAGAGAAGGCTTGTTGTCACTGGTGAGGCCATGGTGCAGGTAGAGCAGTGTGTAGTCACTCTCCACATACTGGTCCAGTGTGTGCTTCAGGTACCTTCAAGAGAAAAGCCCAGGGCTGGGGACATAGCTCAATGATGAGGTTCTTGCCTAGCATGCATCAGGCCCTGGGTTCCATCCCCAGCACCATGAAGAAAATGAAAGAAAAGCCCTGCTCAGACCTGTCCTGTGCACAAGTATGGCCCGTTAAGACAGATGCCGGTGCTCTGGGTCTCCTGCTTGCATGTACTCCGTTCCCCATGAGCCCTCCCCAGTGTCCATTCTGGCAGTAAAATCAGTCACCAGAAGGTAGCATCTGGGCTAGGCAAAGGAAAAACAGTAACAGCTCTCATTGTGGGCACTGGCTAGAAGTCAGGAGACCTGGACTCTAAGCTGGGACCTTTCACCTACCTGCAGTAAAAAGGGCAAAGCATTTTCCCCCCAGGATCACCTGAGTCAGTAATAAGGACAGTCACTGCTTTCAACATAGGGTTTAGTATCTGCCAAGGGCTTCTGATACATTATCTCATTTCCTCAAAACATCTGATGCTGATGTTTTCCCCATCTTAACAAATGAGGCAATGAGCAGAGGTCCATGTCTGTCCAAGGTGACACAGCTTGTAGTACAGCCAACTCTACCACAGCATTCTAGACCTTGGGACAGCTCTGCCTTTACATGCAAACTGTGCTACAAACTGTAAAACACTGTGCCCAGGAGAGGCAAGGGTGGTCAACTGCTCTAATAATTAGGCTTTTAGTGGAACAAAGAGCCACATCTCAGGTTCCCTATTCTTACAAGAGGGTATCTACAATACAGGCGACACTGAGCACCCTGAGACATAAGGAAGGAACAAAAGAGAATGCAGGAAAGGATGGGAGTTCCAGCCACACCCTCTTGCTCCAGCAGGAGCAGCTCCGAACTGGGCAGGCCAAATGCTATAGACATCCAAGAGATGAGAGGAGAGAAAATGCCTGGAAGTGCCAAATCCATGACCTAACCTAGAGAGAAAACTAAAGACTGGTCCCTGGGTACTAGACTGGGTTGGGCAAGCACAGGCAGGCAGCAGACTTGGCTAATGAGAGATTATGGATTCTAATCACTCCTAGCTACAATTGGTTACCCATTATCTACAGTGAGCACTTTGTAACAACCAGAGAGCTGTCACAGAAATGATGGCATTTTGCTACAATGAATATAACAAAGATTGTAGTCAAAAACAGACACTCTCATCTACTGATAGATGTTCTGGTCTTTTGGAGGGCAATAAAGTGATATTTATTAGAAGATATAAAATGTTCAGCCTCTTTGATCTTGTAAAAATGTATCCAGGAATTTTTACTAAGAAAACAGAGAGGAACAAAAACATTTTTGTAGGAAGCTATTTGTTCATTCCAGACTTTTATGATAAAAACAACAACAACAACAACAAAAACACTGAGCAGCAAGCAAACTGTCCAACGTCAGGGAATTGGTTAAAGTCATGGGACACCTATAAACAGGATATCTCACAAGATGTTTCTGTAGACAAGACGCATCTGTAAAGTCAGATGTTAGAACAGTGGTTACCCTCTGAGGAGACTGGAAGAGTAAAGGGCAGTCTGTGGGTGTGGCTGAGATCAGGTTTGGTTTGGGGTTTTTTTGTTTTTGTTTTTGTTTTTGGATTTTGAGACAGAGTCTTGCTATGTAGCCCAGGTGGGCCTTGAACTTGTAATTTTCCTGCATCTGCCTCCCAATGGCTGGGATTACAGAAGCACACCACTATGCCCTGTTAGTTATATGCCTGTAGTCCCAGCTACTCAGGAGGCTGGGCAAGATAACTGCTTGAGCCCAGGAGTTTGAGACCAGCCTGGACAACATAGCAGAACCCTGTTTAAAAAACAAAAACAAAAACAAAACAAAATTATGAAACATATTTACAACTTGTTCACTTTTCTATATATATGTTATATGTCAATAAAATGCTTTTTAAAGGATGTCTTGGAGGAATTTTTTATTTTATTTTATTTTGTGGCAATAGGGTTGACAGGTGCTCCATCTGCTCTACCACTTGAGCCACTCCACCAGCCTTTTTTTGTGATGGGTTTTTTCAAGATAGGGTCTCCTGAACAATTTGTCAGGGTCTGGCTTCAAACTGTGATCCTCCTGATCTTAACCTCCTGAGTAGCTAGGATTATAGACACCTGGCTCAAATTTTTAATTTTTAAGACATAAAACTAATTACAGTTCCAAATATGTTATAAAAAAAACAGGAAGTGAATATAACCAACTATTAAGACTATTTTTTATAGTAGTCTATTTTTTTTCATCATAGCTCTTACATTTTTCTTACCTTTCAAAATTATAATACTTCTAAAATGTATACAATGGCATTTCATGTATATTGTCTTACTGCCAACAACCCTGTGAGGTGGGCACAATTACTATTAATTTTCTTTTTTGGGTGGGACTGGGTTTGAACTCAGGGCTTCATGCTTGCAAAGTAAGCACTCCTACCACGTGAGCCACACCTCCAGTCCATTTTGCTTGGGTTATTTTGGAGATGGAAGTCTCTCAAACTATTTACCCAGCTTGGCCTTGAACCACAGTCTTCCCTATCTCAGCCTCCCAGTAGCTAGGATTACTACCAAACCTAGGATTACTAGGTTTCGGTACCCAGGGCCAAAAGTACTAAGCAGACACTTAACCACTGAAACTACACCTCCAGTCCCAAGCACAATTATTTTATAGGGTTCAGAAAAGACTTGCCCCAAAGCATATAGCTAGTTAAGAGGCAGAGCCAAAGTTTAATTGGTCTTTTCTTCAGGCATTTTCCATTTCAACCCCTCAGATCTGGGTGGGAACTAGGAAAGCCAAATCTGAGGTAATCTGACTAAAAACAGGAAGACTAATTCAAGGTGGAAGCGCCGCCCTGCTCTCAGTAGGGATTGTGACCAGACTCTGTGTCTGTGTGTTTGCAGTGACAGGACAGAGAGCTCACAGCAGTGGGCATCCTGAGCCTGAAGGAAACCCCAGAATGGCTGCAGCTTTCCTCAGCAACAGTCTCCTGAAAGTTAGGTGCTTTTCCTAGCCCCACAGTCTGACTTCCTTCCTCCTGTAGCTATTATCTGGCCAGTCACCTGGCACACCAGACAAGGTAGGAAAGCTAAAGAAGAGGGCCTGTGACTCAGCCACCCTCAGGCTGAGCTGTGGCCTGTTCCTGGCTAGGCCATGTGGCAGGTCTGGACAAGACTCTGCCTACCTCATGTGAGGAGTCACAGGAGGAGAGGTCAGGAGGCCAGAGATTATGTTGCCCTAAGCCCCAGCCTTGGATTACATGGAGCTAGCTGAGACTCCAGACTCAGACCTAGCAGCCTGTCCCCACCAAGTACCCTGTACACATGCACAAACACTCAGGACTCAAAGAGCTGCTGTGAGCTGTGCAGAAATTTTCAATTTCAGGGAGTGTGTTAAACTGTGCAGGAAAGATGTGCAAGATGGTGGCTCCGAGAAAACTCCAAGAAAACTGTTGGCTTCCATGGACAATCCCACCCCCAGGTGATGGCAACGCTTGATCCCTACTGTGGGTCCAGAAGCTGGCTCAATAGTGAATGGTTTCCAGAAGATGGTCTGCCACATGTCCAGCCTATAA